CAATAGCAATTGGTATCAGCACACGGGATGACCTACTTTTCTCGTATAAATTGACTCCGTTCTTTTGACTGGAATGTCTGCCGATCAATGTGAAGGACATTCGAGAACCGGTTTAGTTGAAACTGGTTTGTCGTCGATCAGTCAGTGCAGACGAGAATGCAACCAGCCAGAGCCCCATACAGACTCATCAAGCACATCTAGAATATGTAGAGAGCAAAATATATAAAGGTTTTTACTATAGTTCATCTTGTTTCAAACGATGCCATGTACTTGGTCTCTGCATGTCGTACTGAGGGAGGTCATTGAAAATAGGTCAAGTGGGGTAGGGTGTGTTGAGACTGGGCGAAATTATTAATTCCCCCAAAATACTTGTAACAGTTTTCATGACCCCTCTCCATACAAACGAACAGCATCTAATAATATTCAATAATGCTTTTTTTCTTAATTTGTATGTTAGAACTGTCATGTTGTCATGCGATCCCAACACAACAAGCTTCGCTTGGGTAAATCATAAATGTAGTCGACGCCATCTTTCTCAGCGTTAGTATTTACTGACTCCCCTTCCCCAGAAAAAAATAACCAGTCCCTCATTTAGCTTCATCATCACTTAAAATGAAATGAAATGAGTAGCTTATGTTATGTACGTATTTAGGAAACGATATCGATATCAAAGACTGTGTTTTGTATTTTTTACATCCACTATTCCATGTCTTGCTCTAAAATGCCCTGTCATTAAAATATGCCTATTGTTCATGAACTGTATGCTATCATTAAGAATTTAGATCGAGGTGACGTTACAAAATACATTCAATGTTATCGTATCCCATCCGTTTTCAAAATGCTCAGTTGTATATTTGTATATAAAAATAAGAATAAAACAGCTTTGAAATAGAATAACATGTCTTAAGGACTGGAGATAGTTAAAAAACGAAGCTACCTCGTTCTCCCGTTCGTTCGTGTAACAACCTGGCCCTAGGACACCTTATCTGAACATCAGAACAACAACAACAAAAAAACTGTTGGTGAATGTACACAATAGACAGCTGTAACAAGTCCTCTCACTTTATCAGGTTATTCTTATCATGTGTGATGTGTCTGTTGTTCGTGGTCACTTAGCCTGAAACAAACATATCCAAGAAAGCCCATTCAAGTCTAATAAGTCCAAGATATCCACAGAATCAGGAATGAAGAAAGTCTCACAGCTCCTTTTCATAATGTTTTATTTCTTTCATTATGAACTGTTTTATTATGTAAAATATGTTCATTTCAGAGACTAGTTGTTAGTCTAGTCATTGGCATGTGTGATGGGTTACTGCCAGAATATATATTGTATTTTCCATTGCTCAAAAACTGTATGCATTTTGGCTTTCCTCAACTCCGCACAGCTGTCCCTAAGTACAGCAATAGTATAATCCTATTCCGTTTTAACCTGTTCAAGTTCATGTTCATGATAAAATTAGGAAACTTAGACCCACCAACAAATTGAAAACCATATAAGGTGTTTTATCATCTGAAATACTTTCTTTTCAAGTTTAGTTTTTGGTTGCCAAATGGACCTGAATCATCTTACCTGACCATTTACATACATAAACTTATAAATAGGTCTATGTCCAAATCATGTACATACACAAACTGTAAATAGAATATCTTAATTTAATTAAACATATATTATTTAACCATGCAGATATGATAGAAAACCTCTTCATTAGTTTGATGCCAAATCAACGAGTTAAACATGTGATTTTCTCCTTTCTATACATTAGATACTGCCATGTCTATAACCATGACAAATCTCAACTAAAATCAGAGTCCATTGTGTAATTCCGATGGTAATATACTGAGCATGTGTTTATAACCACCATTAAACAGAGATGCACTATCAAGCGCAAAATGTGCAAATATCAATGGAGTTGCTACTATAAGCTACACACACAGGGGTACCAGAAATAAAACCATATGTTTGGAAGAAGTTAGAACGTGAATCTTTTTGTTTGAAATAGAAGTTGCCGTCATGTTACACATAGGTAGAGTTAATGATATCTCGAAAGACCACCCGAGGACTGCAATCAACTGCAGCTCAGTGACCTCAAACTTTTTTTCCCCTGTCGGTTGAACAGTTTGGTGAAGTTTTCGATAAGTCCCCGGGTCAACATGACCACTGGAAGATAAATAAACACGTGTATATGAAAGCGACACAAATCATTTCTGTGCCCCAGGGAATCCATATTTTGTCTTTTGTGAGATTCTGATCATAGTAGAGATGTCTGAAGAAAAATTGCTTATCTAATCTATGCTCTCATAAGTGCTGGACACTTGAGAACTTATTTTGGTTGATCAAATTCTTTTACCTGTGTGAACTAGTGAGAACAACTTCCTCGGCATTTAAAAAACAACAACCATGGTATAATATATTGCATAACCAGCTTGACACAAGCTCAGGAAGGCCAGTTACCTACACAGCTGGATGTGACAATGTCTTTGTGATGCGTCTTTTCTAAAAATGACATACGAGGGGCGATCAAAAAGTATTTAGAATCACCAAGAAAACGATACAAATGCAGTTATTTTGATGTTTTATTTTTCTACATATTTCTGTCAAGCTCAAGCAATTTGGTTTTGCTATGTTCCAGTCTCACGATCCCCATTTTCTTTGACCTTTTATCGTGGTACCCTCAAAAACGCAAAATCTACAATAATTGCATCAAAAACTTCAGGAAACAAAATATGCAAGAAATATTTTGTGTGTTTGAGATTGATAGAAGTCCCCTAGAATCACACTTAGATATTAAAGTTCATAAAAAAAGCAATTTGAAATTACAATCCCTTGTTAAAGTGACTTCCCCTTCCTGTTGACTGAAAGAGCTTGTTTTGGAGACACTACCCATCCCCCTTTCAGATGACGTAATCATAAGGTATAGTTTATTCTAATGTATTCACTTAAGCATACATGATGCCAAGGGTTCAAACTAAATACTGAATGGTCACACAAGTGTCAGCTCACAATACATTGTAAACAGTGCCAGCTTGAATATCTGGACACAATGTTTTTAAAAGTGTCCTTAAAAAGTTTGTTAGAAATATTATACCTCAATGTGATGTGATGACAAATATCTGGTTAACCACATTACCCACACAGGTTTGAAGAGGAAAAAAAAAATTCGAACCCCTGTTCCGATCTGCTTGTTATGTCTACCTTGATTATCTTGGACCTGTGTCTTTTGTCTGCGTTTGTGTTTGCATATGCGTTGGTGGTTGTGTCATTGTGAGTGGCTTCGGGTGCGCGTATCTGTTTTAATTAATGTCTAGCTCACGTCTGTCATGTCCGACAGGTCGAAACACCCCACTGTTCAACCTTTGAAACAGCCATATGTCATCCGAATGATTTTTGCCACTATATCGGTATCGATCAAACTGAATTGAAGCCACGTGAATGCTTGTGCATTAACTCGTTAAACACTAACTCAATACACAATATAAGACAAAGATATACCTAAGACAAAACTCCCTGACTTAAATGTCCGTGTTACTACCGCTTAGTAGAAGTGTCCGGTGTTAGCAGAGCGGCTATTTGCCTCAGTCCGGCACTGTGTACTATGGACTTTAGCGTTTGTCTTAAGTTTGACACTCCTAAAAATTGGTTTGTAAATCTAGTACATACCCCATTTAGCTGGATTTACATTACATCCGCATATTTTGACGCATGCGTTACCGAGTGCATTTTTTCCAATACACTAGGTGCGATCATCTGCGATATAAGACGATGAATATTAGATGGAGGCAAAATCCTAGCAGTTTCTGTGCATGAGGAAGAGAACAGAACACGGAGATGGTGGGTACATCCCTTAAACCAACAAAGATTATTTGAAGGAGCCTATAATCGTCTTATAAGGGAATTATTAGGGAATTAAATAACATCAATCTTTTATGTGTTTTCGAAATACTGAACTAAACTTATGTAGAAAATATTTACTTTCATACCAACATTGTTCTCTCATACACTCAGGCATTACAAATTCCACATATACAAAATTTGAGCAGTACTGACTTCTCTGGGGAACATAGTTCTGAGGGTTCTGTTGACGTGAACCAAATTGAGCCTCATGAAATATCTGGGCAATTTTATTTTTCATAAGACTTTTAGAAGCATCTTGAAGTAGCTTGTTCTGAGAATGAAATTTATCAAAGGTTTGTCATATTATTGCATATGTTATGCACAGACAGGCACAGAAACACATTATAAATAACATCTCATCAAAAACACTGCCTGTCTGCAATTGGAATCGCGTATTTTTATCGAAAGATGAGGAAATAACTTTACCTGATTGTCAACATGTTGGGGAAATACCTTATTGGAATGACGTCATCAGGGGAATTCCTCATGCGAGTTCATTTGCGTTGCGTCAAAAATAGGAGGCCTACCTATCTAAATCGCTTCGGATCGCAACGCATGCAAAATTCGCACCTAGTGTATTGTCTAAATGGAAAATGTACTGCTTGCGTTTTTTCGGACGCAACGCATGTCGCAACTCAGAGAAAATCGGACGTAGTGTAAATCCAGCCATACTAATTGGCTTTTCAATTTATGCACCCACAACTCCATCGACGGGTGTGTCAGCTTGTAACTCAATCAGATATTTCGACTATCGTCTGTTATGATAAAAACATGTATTCAATTACTGCTTTCAAATACCTAACCCGCACAGCTGACGAAAATGATTGGGTACGACAACTACTGTTTCTGCTACTTCTACTACTACCACTGCCGCTTCTGCTACTGTTGCCACTTCTAGTATTAATACTGTGCTAGTACTGTAGGAAAGCAGCAGTAGTAGTAGCTGACTGCATGGCTGTTTGAACGTCAGCTGGAGGCCATGAGACAATCTTCCGGCGACGTATATCAGACAGCCGTTATTGCCGTCGCGATTAGGCGGGAGTCTTGGAGACTGCGACGTAAATCAACATCCCTTCACACATTTACAGACTGCATCAAATTAACCTACCTTGCATGGCAAACATACAGTGGCACCAAAGTATTGTCCGCTTGCGTTGTCGGCGCACACAACACATTTCAGTGACGTCTTCAGCGTCACACCCATCTTCTCTCCTCTACAGCTGACGTTCCTACTCCTTTCGTGAGAAGGACCGTGTGTTTCACCACTATTGTCACGAGAATTAACAGCATCTACCTCGATACTTTCAGGACTACCCGAGTCAAATGAATCTGGGTGCGACCCGTCTTCTCTGCATCCTGAATACGGAGAATACAGCGGGGTCGAGGTAGTCTGTTCTGCCTCTAGGGACTCCTGTTGTTTCTGGCCACGTCCTCTTCCTCGTTTAGAAGCCATGTCTATTTGCACACATCCGAGTATCGCATGTCGAAAAACCTAAAAAAGATGAAACATCATAACTGTCCTAATATTTCGTCACGTGTGTGTCTAACGGAAACCGTTGAATAAAAAGCTTTAAAACGGTTGAATGAATGATTAATTGTCACACATTAATTATGTTTTACTGTTAATATAGTGTGTAGATCTACAGAGATGATTAACAGAATCGAATAGCCAGGGTCAGTGACTTAGTTGATGGAACTGTGTTGTCAGAATTGGCATTTCACAGACTATACAAGACAAATGTTATGGATAACAACTTCTTTATTTGTTTAACACGACGTTTTAGGGCTTGGTTCTTGCCCTTTCTTTAGGTGGATATGAAAATTATAACTATCCACCTTAAATAGGGGCACGAACGAGCCAAGAAAGGTCGTGGTATACAAACATAGAAGTTGTTATCCATAAGATTTGTTTTGTATTACTACACCAAATTCTAACTGCCTTTGGAGAATTTCATTTTATAAACTGGGCGGTGGGGTAGCCTAGTGGTTAAAGCGTTGGCTCGTCACGCCGAAGACCCGGGTTCGATTCCCCACATGGGCACAATGTGTGAAGCCCATTTCTGGTGTCCCCCGCCGTGATATTGCTGGAATATGTTAAAAGCGGCGTAAAACTAAACTCAGTCAGTCAGTCATTTTATAAAGTGTTGTAATACAACAGGGATGTTGCTGAGTGTGACGTTGATAACAAAGAAAGAAGTAATGAAATGTAACTTAATCACACATCGTATTTTTGGTAGGCATCCAAAGATATGAAGAACATGAAACAATGACATCTTTATGGACGACAATAGATTTACTGCTTGTGACAACGTTTCAAGGTTACTTCTTTCCGTTCGTCACCTGATGAAACAGTGAGCTCTGAAACGCCATGTCATGTCTGACAGGTGGGGACACCCCACTGTTCAGCTGGTTAGATAGGCTGGTTGATAGACCGACATAGTACTTTCATCTTTTGAACATATGTCATCCAATTGATTAGAGCGATGTTTTCAACATATGTCATCACATTGATTAAAGCGATGTTTTCACTGTATCGGTATCGATCAAACTGAATTGAAGCCTAATAAATGCTCATGCATTAACTAGTTAAACACTAACTCAATACACGATATCAGAAGGACATATTTGAGAAATAATCCACGGGGTAAATGCCCCCGATGTTCCCCGCGTATTAGAAGTGTCTGGTGTTCGCAGAGCGGCTATTAGTCTCAGTCTGGTATTGTAAGGGCTTTGACGTTTGTCTAAATTTTGGCACTCCTAAAAGTCGGGTTGTAAATCCAGTACGGTACGTCATGATAACAGTCTAATTTACAATGCAAATTTTATTGTGGAATAAGAATATTACATATCCAAGCTGCAGCGACATCAATGAGTAAATCCAGACTCGGCAGTTTAAAAAGCAACGTTTCACGATTGTTACATAAATCGGAGTTGCTGTATGTAATTCTATATTCCACATCTTAATTGTTCTTAGAAAATGTTGAAATATAATAATCTCCCGACAACAAATGGAACTACATGTACTCAACTGAGATGTCATAAACAACGAGGACGTCATCTTCGATTGTGTCCTTGAAATGCCATTGCTAGTAAACCGATCTCCCTTAATAACTCGCTGTTAAGAAATAAATAACAGATAATATATTATCGACGAAAAAGTGTGATACTGTATTTACCTATCAAAGTTAATAGCATGGAAATTGTTATTCTTCGCGGCATTCTATTACTGAAAGCAAAAACAAATCAAACACAGACAGCCAGACATGGAGTGCACAGAGTGGAACGACGTTCCACAACTGCCTAGGTCACAAACAATAACTGTTTTGTATACGTGACACACTTATTTGATCTATGGCTCGTAGCACGGAAACAACTCACACTTATTCAGACAAGCAGTAGGAGCCAAGAAAATAACATCAGTTTTACCAGTTTGTAGTGTGACTAATGTGGGAGTCGAACCCATGATAAGCGGATCCTAGTACATATTAAGGACGTAACTCGCCACATTGAACAGAAATATATTAAATACGTCTGCATTGAAATATATTTCGAGCTGATATTATACCTGTAAAAAGGATTAACCTCAACAGAAAGCTTTTCCCTTTTATTTCCCTTCATGATAAAATTAAATGGAGTAGCCATAATCATTTGTTTGCCCTTCAGTTTAACGGGGGTTTTCTAATGGACTACAATTCTTTCTGCAGAATTTCCTAAAGCGTGCCACAAATCTCGAATCCTAAATCCACATTGTCGTGTTTCAATATATGTCAGAATCAAACCACATTCGTGGTCTTCACTGAACTGGGCCGGGTTCGATTCCCTACTTGGGTACAATGTGTGAAGCCCATTTCTGGTGTCCCCCGCCATGATGTTCCTGGAATATTGCTAAAAGCGGCGTAAAACCAAACTCACTCACTCACTCACTGAACTGGGGAACATTTACGATCTGCGACTTCCGGTTTTTCTGTTTAATGCAAATTGTATGAGTAACGGGCGCTAATGATAAGGCAGGATACACACACCCTGTTCACGAACACATGGTAGAAGCCGTGGTGGCTGAGTGGGTTAGACGGCTGGCGATTAGGTGCCTGACTCTCAGGATGTGGTTTCGAATCCCGGATGATGCTCAGCCCAACGAAAGTACTAGAATCTGTACTTCACTGAGAAGGTGTAATCCCTAATATAACAAATGTAACATTTGACCACTTTCTAAATGGCATTGTGTATTCACAGTCTATACATATATGTATGTACATATTTTACCCCTAATCATGCCTACTGGCCAGCCTATATGGATACATACATATTTCATATAGTACATTAATACCATCAGACATGCCTACTAGTCTAAACATGTGTACACAAATATCTGTATGCACATATTTTACCTTTAGTCTTGCATGTCAGTCTATACAAGTATACACAAATATTTGTATGTACATATTTTACCTTTAGTCATGTATACCAGTCTATACATGCATACTCAAATATACGTATGTACATATTTTACCTTAAGTCATGCATACAAGTCTATACATGCATACTCAAATATATGTATGTACATATCTTATTATAGTCATGCATACAAGTCTATACATGAATACTCAAATATATGTATGTACATATTTTACCCTAAGTCATGCATACCAGTCTATACATGCATACTCAAACATATTATTGTACATATTTTACCCTTAGTCATGCATACCAGTCTATACATGCATACTCAAATATATTATTGTACATATTTTACTCTAAGTCATGTATACCAGTCTATACATGAATACTCAAATATATGTATGTACATATTTTACCCTTAGTCATGTATACCAGTCTATACATGCATACTCAAATATATGTATGTACATATTTTACCCTTAGTCATGCATACCAGGCTATACATGCATACTCAAATATATGTATGTACATATTTTACCCTTAGTCATGCATACCAGGCTATAAATGCATACTCAAATATATGTATGTACATATTTTACCCTTAGTCATGCATACCAGGCTATACATGAATACTCAAATATATGTATGTACATATTTTACCTTTAGTCATGCATACCAGGCTATACATGCATACTCAAATATATGTATGTACATATTTTACCCTTAGTCATGCATACCAGGCTATACATGCATACTCAAATATATGTATGTACATATTTTACCCTAAGTCATGTATACATGCATACTCAAATATATGTATGTACATATTTTACCCTTAGTCATGCATACAAGTCTATACATGCATACTCAAATATATGTATGTACATATTTTACCCTAAGTCATGCATACCAGTCTATACATGCATACTCAAATATATGTATGTACATATTTTACCCTAAGTCATGTATACATGCATACTCAAATATATGTATGTACATATTTTACCCTTAGTCATGTATACCAGTCTATACATGCATACTCAAATATATGTATGTACATATTTTACCCTTAGTCATGCATACCAGTCTATACATGCATACTCAAATATATGTATGTACATATCTTACCCTAAGTCATGCATACCAGTCTATACATGCATAATCAAATATATGTATGCACATATTTTACCCTTAGTCATGTATACCAGTCTATACATGCATACTCAAATATATGTATGTACATATTTTACCTTTAGTCATGTATACCAGTCTATACATGCATACTCAAATATATGTTTGTACATATTTTACCCTAAGTCATGCATACCAGGCTATACATGCATACTCAAATATATGTATGTACATATTTTACCCTAAGTCATGCATACCAGGCTATACATGCATACTCAAATATATAATTGTACATATTTTACCCTTAGTTATGCATACCAGGTTATACATGCATACTCAAATATATGTATGTACATATTTTACTCTAAGTCATGCATACCAGGCTATACATGCATACTCAAATATATGTATGTACATATTTTACCCTTAGTCATGCATACCAGTCTATACATGCATACTCAAATATATGTATGTACATATTTTACCCTTAGTCAAGTATACCAGTCTATACATGCATACTCAAATATATGTATGTACATATTTTACCCTTAGTCATGCATACCAGGCTATACATGCATACTCAAATATATGTATGTACATATTTTACCCTTAGTCATGCATACCAGGCTATACATGAATACTCAAATATATGTATGTACATATCTTACCCTAAGTCATGCATACCAGTCTATACATGCATAATCAAATATATGTATGTACATATTTTACATATCATGTATACCAGTCTATACATGCATGTACATATTTTACCCTTAGTCATGCATACCAGTCTATACATGCATACTCAAATATATGTATGTACATATTTTACCCTTTAGTCATGCATACCAGTCTATACATGCATACTCAAATATATGTATGTACATATTTTACCCTAAGTCATGCATACCAGTCTATACATGCATACTCAAATATATGTATGTACATATTTTACCCTAAGTC